CGTGAAAGAGAATTATCGGCACAACAAAAAAAAAAAAAAAAAAAAAAAAAAAAAAAAACACAAAGAAGCTCGACAAAGTCTCCTTTTTCCCTGCCTAGACGCGAGTATCGCGTTCGCAAGGCAGTTAAAAGATGAGAGAAGCAGTTTTTACAATTAACAGTATTATTAACGTACTGTGAAATAATTACACGTGTGTGTATAAACATTACGCATACATACGTATATATGTAAGTCATTAAGCTCAAGATGCTCGATGCATTGATGCACAAAATATTCCTAGTAAATAGTTGAACAGCGCAAGAATATGAAGTATGACTGAAATTTAAAAAAATAAAAACAATCACGAATAACGTTGGAACTGGAGCCACATGTCTTATTTTTAAAAAATTACTTTTTAAAATTATAATACAGTCTTGTATTTATACGTGTCGATGAGTGGATCATATGAAAAAATATCAACTTTAAGTTTGAGTGTACGTATACATTATACGAAACGAAAGACTTTTTGTCTCTCGTCAAACTGTAACTTTAGGTTTTTCCTCGTTTGTGTAATTTTTGTTTGGTCAAATGCGTACAACACACGACTGTTACATTTGTACAATAAAACCGGATTGCACGCGCGTTTCAGTCGTGACGCCTCGATCGCGAGGATTTATATTTTTTATAAAATTATTTATTTTGTACCTTATATTATATACATTTCGAAGCTTAAGATTATAAAAATAATAATAACAATAATAATAACAATGATAATATATTAATAGTAATGATGATAAGTATACAAAAAGCAATAATAAAATTCTACACATTTGGGTACGAGAATTGTATAATCATAAATATAATGAACGAGTTTTATTTTTACATCCAACACATTCAAATCACTCGGAGCTATTATTTTTTCTAATGGCATGACGAGAAAAAATTAATAGTGTTATTGTTGTCATTGCGTTGTTTTGTTGGAGCTCTCTATTGTTGCAAGGCATTACATAATGCCGTTGGAACGTTGCTTTGCAATATGCTGATTAGCCATTGTCATTGAAACGGAACGTTTTAATTATATCTGTAGATTGACATACACCTAGTTGTAATTTTACCTTTTTTTTTATTGCGAAAAATCGTTGTGTGCTTTTTGCAATTTTATCGATTACTAAGTAAATTTTTCAGACGACTGTGATTGATTTCGATAAAATTAATAATTGTTGTGTACTATTGATTTTACTGTAAAAAAGGCGTTTTATTTGGAGGAGTTATCGGCGGAGCAACTTGAAGCTATTTTAGTTTGACGCATCTCCAGCAGATATCGGAAGTCATGCGTTTTTTGAAGTATTCACAATATCGCAGTACCTATTTATTATTAAATAAAGCATGTAAGAAAAAGTGTTTCTACAATTTTCATATTTTACGATAATTTTTAAATTCAATTTACAGCAAAATTACAAAGAAACCATATAAATGATCGAATTTGCAAAACAGGAGTCAAGATCAAGATATTATGTCTTGAATTTTCTTATTACTCGGCAAAACTGAGATATCGACATATTTCTCCTCTTTGCGAAACACTCGCAAAAAAAAAAAAAAAAAAAAAAAAAATAATGTAAAATCCATTTGCGTCGCAAAAACGTAACGAAAACACTTAACCGATGTGGTGTAATAAACAAGTGGGTTGCAAAAGGGGGAAGTGGTGAGAGTAACGCGGCCGAATCTCCTTTAATTTCGCAAAATGAATCGGCAAGTTTTGCCTCGGGGGCAAGTTAATCGATATGATGCACGCGCAGTATAATATATACAATACCGTACACATTTTTGTCACGCGTGATTGCGACATTTTAATTTCGCGCGTGTGCATGTATGGCACTACACCTACGTGCGAACGCGCGATTTTGTGCTCCGTCATTCGCTACCTGCGCCACTGCTGGTGCCTGTCGATAAATTTTATTGTCCCGGATTCGCGATAATCGCCCTCGTGCACTCGCGAATTTCGTCATTTAGCTACAAAGGGATCGAAAACATCGGGAGAGACGTTGCACGGCGTATACTTTTATATTTTCGGTTGGACCGTCTCTGTAGCAGTTTATCAGGAGTATAGGAGTATGGTTTCAAAAAAAAAAAAAAAAAAAAAAAAATTAAATGTGGAAGGTTTATCTAGAGATTTATTTTCTAAAAGTTATCCTTATACTTTGGTACGTTGAAAATGTATGTTCAGCGGATTATGCGGCTCGAAATGATGAAGCTCTCTTTGCTGAATGTCTTTACCAAATCGATTGCTCTCTATTCTTTTATACGTGATTCGTATTTGCTGTTATGATCAAGTGTTCCATATTACCGTGCACTAAGATCAAATTGATGATAATATACTCTCTTTGACACTTTGACTTTCTCCATTCCACTAAATAATGAAACACAACGATACAGCACATGCAAGATATAAATAATCTAATGGCTTGTGTGTGCATAATTATAAAGTCGTATATAATTGCAATTTTTATCATTTAACACATTAATCGTGCTCACTTCACTTTAATGTCGAATTAATGTGACAAACTGTTTATTATTAGATTAGAAGTGATTCCAGTATGACGTATAATATATTTTGGGATAAAAGTAAATGCGTTTGAAAACGGAACCAACGCTAATTAATGTACTTTAATAAATGTAATAAGTGGGCGTCTGACCATATAGAGCTGTTTCTACTAGCTACACGACACATGTTCATTCCTTTCACACTTTGCTTGTCTCTATTCCACATTTTTCGCTCGCATGATTTGATAAAANTAAATAAATAAATAAACAAGCCAATGGATAGTACATCTCGTTAAAGACGTTCAGAATCCTTCCCTTTAAGAACCTCTTGAACACAACCCCCTGCGTCTCACCTTTCCGAGCATTCGAACGATCCAACAAAGCCCTGTTGGATATATATACGATACGACATCCATACATTACTCTCTCATATATACGCTTAAATGATTGAACAATCGCATGTATCGTATATACGACAGTGGAAACAAGCTCCCCCTCGCATCGAGTGACGTGCATGTGCTTTGCATCCGCATTCGATTTTCCGTAAAGGCATCATATGTTTATTATCCGCGTACAAGCAGAGAGATAAAAGAAAAGTGTAGACGTTACTTCAGTGCGATTGCGCGTCCGAGAACTCGCGAACAGGGGAAAATCGATAGGGGCTGCGTCGACGCGCTCGCTCGGCTCGGCTGGATTCGTCGACCGGATAGCGCTGGAATTTCGAAACCCATCGCTGCCGACACGTGCAAAGGGTTTTTTCTCTCCCCCGAAATGATCGCCGTACCAGCGTTCCCGAATAAACCTTGGTCCGTGATTTATTTCCCCCATCGTATGCGTATTAGAGACAAACGTTGAAGCATCATACATACTTTTTTTCCCCCTAATCTCGAGAAGTGCGATAAAAATGTTTTTGGGTGCTTTTTGCATAAAAAAGCGGCCAAATCATTCGCGAGCGCGCCGGTGTAGGGGTATAAAATTTACATATTTTTCGCGTGACGAGTCGAGCCGTAAAAACCGGCGCTAAAATAACGCCATGCTCTAACGGAATATGAAAAATCGGCGTGTAGAATGGGGGTCGAAAAACGATTTTTCATTTTATTGAACCTTCACGTGAGTTCTTGTTTCTCGATATTCAAACAAAATTGCTTGAAATATACTAACATCATTGTTTACAATCGATTTTGAAAAATATGCTGTCTAATTAAAGTTGATCGAAAATAATTTTTTTTCTTTGTATCATTTGATAAAAAATATCTTTCGTGATGGGTATACGTATGGTAATCAACGACAATTCGATGTAAACATGAGCCATTTAATACCCTTGATTCACGCGATTTCGAAATAAATCTGTACAATAATACACCATTGGTTCTTATGAAACGACTTTTAATTGAAAACTGGGTAAAAAAGTAATGGTGAGAGGATTTTAACATATTTGAGAGTATCGCGTCTCGTCATCCGTCAACCCTCACGCAACCATTGCCTCGGCAAACATTTTATTGTACAATGAACAGCCAACTGAAGCGATCCAAAAGACGAGTACTATCCTCGCGTGTAATCTTGAGAAGCGGCAGACTAATCGAAAGGGCGAAATCGACCCGAGGGCTACAAAAAAAAAAAAAAAAAAAAAAAAAAAAAAAAAAAAAAAAAGGAAAAAAATCCAAACCACCACTTTCAAGAGGAAAAGTAGAGGCAGCAAAAAAAGTTTTCCCAAAGTCGATACATCCCGCACTTCCCTCGCTCCCATAAAAAGAAAAGGTGAATTCCAAACGACAGAGAATTGCCTCCCGATAGAACGAGCAAAGCAAACCCGCCTCCGTACATATATTTTTCGCTCCAGTTGCAATGTGTACCCACACACATTCGCGTATTTGGCAGGGATAGGCCGACTGGGTGGTATACGCGGGGGCAATAAAACTCCCTCCGAGATCTGCTGCTTCAATTTTTCTTTCCTCCCTAGCTTTTTGGGAGGATTGCTACGAGGCGCTTGCCTGGGGGGGTCTCGAGATACACCCGCCGTGGATTTATAAATGTGTACGATATACAGGCAAGCTCGAATCTTTATACGTGGCTCAAGTTTAATGAAGCGCGTCGGGTTTGTTTTGTGGTATTTAGAAAGCGATATGCAATAGCGATTTTTCTATGGTTAACGTTGTCATTTTTACAATTGACATGGGCTGCGAACGTTTACTCGGTCTCTCGGAAATTTTATCGAAATTCAATTTTTATCGATTCCTCGTCTTTTATCGTGCAATTCCTAAAACAAGTATAGGTACATTACATTCAAGTGGCTAAATCTATAAAAATGGGACTCTGATTTTTCAAATCGGGCACG